AAATCCAAAAGTCTAGTATAAAAGAAGAGTTAAAGTTTCGCGGAAACTTGGTTCATTCGTTAATACAAGCTCACAAATCAAATTAAAGAACATCTTTTGCGTGGTAAATCTCAGATCCCTTCAATTGACCTCTTCGTTTGCATTTTCAGTACAGGTTGTTCCGAAACCATTGAAATATATATAGCTCAATCAATATTTACAATTTATTTATTTATTTATTCCGTCAATCTTCACTCACAGTACATACCAATATGTCAACTTTCTCATGGATAAGGTTAAGTAATTTGGTACCGCGAGTGCGCGGCGCCTCCCTCAGCACGTAGGTGCGGGCGCGCGGCACCGCCAACAGCCGCGGTCGTCAACTTCGCCACATGTATTGCTCTGGGACGTTCAAATATATACCCTCCAAGAAATATGGATTGACTATTTTTCCTCTTATTACTTGGAGAATATATTATACCGGTACAAAGTCCTGTCTAACACGGAGTTCATTACATCTTACCATACCATAAAACGTTTAAGGTTGGATATTTAAGTGGGTAAAACGGACATAGCACATACTGTTTGCGATATAGAAATCTTACAAATATGTTTTTTATTCTCTCCAACATGAGACCATATTTCATTTGCAGCTCAGATAACCCCGTTGCACTCGATCTTGCTCCTAACTATGGCGTTGTACAATGCTACAGTGGCTTTAGTTTAATTAGTGAAACAATGAGCGCTGCGCATTATAAAACCTAAGTTGCGTTACGTTTTTTGCAGATGTTCACTATATGATCTTGAAAATTAAGTACTGAAGTAAAACGAACACCCAAATCCTTAACCTCGTTCACTAGTGCCATAGCTACTCCATTCAACGCATACGAATACCTAAAGAGCACGGGATTGCGTGCGTGGGTAAAAGTTAGCGTTACACACTTAGATGAACTAATTTGCAACTTAATATCCTCACACCGCACTACCACCATGTTAATGTCGCATTATAACATTTCACCGTCCTTTCGTTCCCTGATCGGTAGATACAGCTTGAGGTCGTCAGCAAACAGCAAACATTTAGCGTTAATCACAACACTCATCAGATCATTTATCATTAATGTAAACTCGAGAAGACCGAGATTACTGCTCTGACTCACACCAGAACGACTTTAATATGGCTTCGATACGAAACTAGCGTATTTCACGTATTGTTGGCTGTTGCTCATATAACTTTTTTTGTTTTGTTTTTTTAAGAATATTAACAATGCTATAAACATTACTAATATTCCCCTTAACCACTCGTGGTAAGCTTAAATTGGTTGTGTTACGAGTGGTTCACGCCAGTAGTCCAATAGACCTTTTTGAGTTCGCGGTCCGCGCCCTACCATTAGGCTACTGTCGCTTAATTGGCAAACAATTGTATTTATATATTAACTGGCAAACAATTGTAGTGAGTGTGGAGTAAAACCAATGCATGCTAACTTTTTAAGTATTATGTCGTTATCGATCAAGTCGAGGGCTTTTTAGTCAAATTCAAAATAAGCGACGTCCACTTGCAATCTACTGTCCACTACCGGCACGATATTGTAGGAGTAGTTCAGAAGGTTGCTTGAGATGCCCCGTGCTGGTCGAAATCCATACTGAGCATCTGTCAACTGAGCGCTTATCAATGAGAGTACATTCTTATGTATGGCAGACTCTAACACTTCCGCCGGTGTAGACAGGACAGCTACAGATCTGTATTCCTCTACTTTAGTTGATAAACCTTTCTTAGTCATCGGCACGACTTGTGTTATTTTTACCTCTCTGGAAACACCTCCGATTCAATGCAAAGGTTACATATGTGAAGTAGCGGTTTAGTCAACACTACAGTCCCTAAATACGTAGAGAGTTATACCATTCGGTTTTTATGATAAAGGTTATGGCGAATGTCTTTAATGCATTAACATAAAATTCAATAAATTTTCAAAAATGTATAAAATTAATCTATGATATTTGTTGTGAAATAATATTGATAATAACGAATTAAAAACTAATGTTGTTTCTCTCTTCTTAATATTTCCAAAACAATTGTTTAAAAAAATATTATAATTAAAAATAACTTATATATAAAATACGCTTACTTTAAGACCACACCGTAGCCATTGGTTCCGACGTCCGTTCAGGAAGTTCACTGCATCCTTTCGGAGCTTCAATGACCATAAAATGGATATTTTATTTGTTAAAAATTGTTTATTTGGGCGCAATATTGTTTCTAATTTTATATAATGGATTTAATGATATTTCTAGGTTTATTTACATACTATATAACTTAAAGTAAAACACATTACACGTTCACAGATTTTTTCTGATGCATTAGCTGACATGCATTACTTGTAACTTTAGATTTTCCGATAATTTCCACGCTTTGCGGTTATGTGATATATTGTAGTGACAAAAATTCGGCACCTTTATTTATATAATTAAGCTAACAAATAAGCACAGAGTCTTTCTGATGGTATGTAAGTACTGTGGCCTAAAGACATTTATAACTATCCTCAATTAAAAATCAAAATGCAGATGCATCACCTTCAAGGACTTAGATGGAATACCCAATCTCCAATAAAAAGAGACCTATTTACCATACTAAACACTGCAGCATTAAACTGACATTTTACGCTAGTCTTTTGTGAGAATGTGATCCTTCCCAAGTCGCGCCGACCCATTCATGCTACAACCATAATAGCTGCAAAGAGGCTTATCTCGTATAACCTTTACACGGATTATTCTCATCAAATCCAGTACGTGGGTTCATTATAATTGAGATGATTTACCAACATTAGTCGAGCAGTAAACCTGAAAAAGATGGACGACATCAATCAACTAGGTGCAATGTGTTCAAGCGTGTTCAGCACTAAAAGAGAGACGCAAATATTATTATCCCTTGTATTCTTTGCACAATCATGAAGCAAACATTGAATTAAATGTTAACATCAAATATGAACTCAATAAACAATAAATGGAATCAGGCGTTACTTAAAGGAAATCCATAATATTAAAGATGGCAAAAATTGGGCTGCTTATTACCGCGTTATGAAATAAAATCGCATCGCAGAGTCTACTTCACCTGAGGATGCCTCGTGTAGAGGCGAAACACGTGTCATATTATAATGATTTCTTATATAGACGCGAACACTTCCCAATTTAACTAAAACTAGTTTTGACGGGTTTAATCGTGTATATTATTTTATTTAATATTCCCGACGTTTCGAGCACTTTACAGCATCTACGGTCACGGGGGGACTGAGGTGTTCCACGTCCCAATGTCGTAGTTAACCACGGCTACCTCCAGATTAAAATTATTAATTTTTGTTCCGATCTACGCAATATGTTGTTGTATCTTGTAGTCTTGCAGTTGTATTTTTGGGTTAGCATTTAATTTTATAAGCTAATAGGGTTGGATTTATAATGCACGTATGATCATTATTTTTTTAAGATATTGTACATTTTATAGAATAATAGCTGGTAACTATTGCGTATTTGCCGCAGAAAAAATAATTGGGGTACTATATTTTTAAGTTTGAAAGGATTATATTGATATAGAAACACATAATGCATTCATTGAAGTTGAATGATATATTAATTTCAAATAAATTTGTGATACGCGAGCTACCTACTCTAACTTCATTGTATTATGTGTATAACCTTCACGCAAGTGCAAGCAATAAGTTGACAAAGTTTTACCGCAATCTGACAAACGGTATGGTTCCGCATAAATTACGAAAAAACAAACATTAATTTTTATATATTAGATTATTCAGAGACGTTACGCCGTGTAGTGGCAGTGAAAGAAAATCCACTACCTCCATATCATCCCGCGGGTGTCGTAAGAGGCGACAGAAGGTAATGAAACATTAGACGAGCAGCAGCAACTTCATGGCTACAATTCTAAATAATAAAAACTGCGGTTAACTACATGCCTGCTAAACGTACCAACAATGGAAATATTCCTTCTATAAGACAATCTATAGGGGAGAACTAATATTGTTAGTCCATATAAATCAATAGATTATGCAGTTAGCTATGCTGCCATGCTAACGTTAAAGGCGACTCTTCGACATTTCGGCAAAATTTACATTTTAAACAATACTAAAATGTTCAAGAAAATTTCTATTTACTGATCTTGTCGCTAATTGTCAAACTTTTTTTCATTTTCAAGATAATATGTGTGCATAGCTGGATAATATGGAGTGCATAGCTGCCGTGATCGCCGACAGTAACGGTTTCGTTCACTCTTAGTTTTTTAAATAAAATAAATGTGTCTAGTGTTTAAACTTACTTAAAATTAATATCAATAGATGCAGTGTTTTATTGATGTTCGAGTGGTTAAATCATTCAGTGTTTTCATGTTAAATTGTAATAGAAATACTCCAAAAATTGTGAGAAGCCCCGTAGTCATTTTTAAATGTTGCAGTCAGTTGTTTATTTTGCAACGAGTATGCAATAAATTATAAGTCACACACATTATTCAACGAACATTTATCTCCGTAAAGTGATTTGCTTATTCAAAGAGTATATCAGCGAACAATTGGCGCTGTGGCTTACGCACTAACGCAACAAGAAAATAAGTATAAGAGGCGTTAGATCGAATCCCAACAGCTGAGGTCTTTTTTAGCTTTATTTACAAAAATTTCTTAATTTGAGATTAATAAAACAATTAATATGAATTGCTCTGTCTGCAACAAGAAGCTACTTCGCACTGACCGCTGCTTAGCATGTAATCACTGTCATTCATAATATCATATTGAGTGCCTAAATTTAAATAAAGAACAATTTGCGGCTTTAATTACTGAATATAAATCAAAGTGGATGCGTCCATCTTGTAGTAATATAACTAAACGTAAAGAATCGATGTCAATACGCCTGTCCAACAAACGCTTGTACCACTCGTAGAGAAACCATTGAATTCGCCCCTTGAAAATTCAAGCTGTTCATCAACCGATTCCCAATTATTTTCCTCAAACGACGACAATCTCCTCACCATGGGTAAAATTAGTACCTTATTGGATAAAAGACTTAATAATTATCTATCGGATTTCGTGAAAAGTTTTAGAAAAGCATTGAAGAATGACGTCAAAAACCTAGTACAAGCGGAGATGGACTCAGTTGTGCAGCAGCTTAAATACGACTTCACTGTAACCACTAACTTTATACGTGATGAACAGTCTTCCCTAAAGCAAGAAATTGAAAAAAAAGAGTCACATAATAAAACACCTAGAATCTGGAACTCTTCTATTTCAAAAGGAGATTAATGTTCTAACCAATCGTTTAACATCAATTGAAAAAATTTCCCATAGCAAAAATTTAAAAATTCAGTTAGTACCAGAAAGTTGAACTGAAAATCCAATGCTGTTATTCCCCAACCTATGTAAAACAGTAAATATTCAAATAGATGATGAGAACATTCATTCTTGAACGCCCTAGAAATATTCTTGTAACACTCATTAACCCACGCTTAAGGGACCAAGTTCTCTCCGCATGTTATCGTTATAATAAAGCCAATAAAGACAATCCCTTGAATACCAACAACATCGGATTAAATTGCGAAAAGCGAAAAATTTATGTGACTGAACATCTTTCTCCGGAATGTAAGGTTCTTCATGCTGCTGCTAGAAATTTTTCAAAGGAGAAGAAATATAAGTATATATGGGTTAAGTTCGGACGTATATATATTCGTAAGGAAGACACTGTGGCCTGCATACACATTAGAAATATGAAATGCTTAAACAAACTGTCATAATATCACAATTTTTATTGTTGCTATATTTAATTTATGTATTTGGAAATTTTACTATTGTATAATGTTAATTTATTATCAAAATGTTAATCGCTTAAGATCAAAAACAAAAGAGTTCTATCCTAATTTACTTAATAATGATTACGACATTATCTGTATAACTGAAACAAACTTAAATAACACTATTTTTGACGGTGAATTCATTGAATCTCGATATAATATTGTAAGGCGCGACAGATATCAATCAAATGCACGTAAATCTGAGGGTGGGGGAATTCTAATTGCCGTTAAAAAAGAAATAAATTTTATTTATCAAGTTTCCTGGAATAGTGAACTAGAAGACTTGTGGATCAGCATATTTCCAAAAGCCATTAGTGTTAAATTATTAATATTTGTCTGTATTATCTTCCGCCAGATCCGTCTTTAGACTACATCGAAATTTTTTTTACAAACTGTCAAAACGTAATTATGCGATATCGTAACACAGAAGAATTTTTTTTGTATAGGGGATTTTTTAATATACCCGTCGTTCACTGGTCTAAATTATCACAGTATTATTATATGATTCCTCTTCACCCGCGAGGTTTAAAAGCTAATCTGCTTTTTGATACCCTTAGAATATGTAACCTTGATAATTTTACAGTATATCAAATAACAACGGAGGATTTTTAGACCTAATTCTTTTCAGTTCGAACAGCATTCAGGTTTATGAAGTGGAGCCAGGCTTAAATAACCACCACCCATCATTAGTTGCAGATATTAATCTTGTTGAAATAAACTCAAATAATTTTAAAAACAAAAAACAAAAAGGACCAAATTTTTTCAAAAGCAATTATTCAAAAATAAATCTTGAATGAAAATCAGTTAAATGCCATAATATCTTGTCAATTCATAAAGATATTGATAGCATGACTGACGCATTTTACGCAGAGCTTAGGAATATTATTGCAAAACATACACCTATGACCAAAATTGACACAAACAAATATCCAGTATGGTTCGCACCTGCTTTAAGGCAAAGCTTAGAAGAAAAACTAAAATATCATCGTCTTTTCAAAAAATATAAGAATCCTCGGGATTATGATACATTTTCCATGTTACGCAACAGATTTAAAAAACTTATTAGTAATGACTATAAAAATTTTGTTTCGTCCGTCGAATCTTCTTTAGATGACAATAAAATTCTTTTGGCGTTTTGTCAATGACAAGAAAAATAATGCTAATAGTATCCGCAAAACGATGAAATATGGTAATCATATCTCTTCCGGTGAAAAAGAAATATGTGAGCTTTTCTCTAATTATTTCAGTTCTGTCTTTGCAAACCTAGAGGAGACTATCTTATATTCTCACAATAAATTATCCAATCGTAGTAATTGTACCCTAAGTGATATCACAATCACACAAGACGACATACAGCAAAAGATTGCGAAATTAGACCAAAGAAAAGGCTCTGGACCAGATGGTATTCCTCCTTTATTCATTAAGAAATGCGGCAAGGAATTAAGTAATCCCTTGTGTATTATATTTAATGCATCCATTAAGGCAGGTATTTTTCCATCAGTATGGAAAATAGCTCATATTGTTCCGATTTATAAATCCGGCGACAGATCAAATTGCGAAAATTATCGACCCGTAAGCATCTTGTCTTGCCTTGGTAAATCGTTTGAATCATTGGTGTATGATTCTCTTTATCATCATATTCAACCTTTCCTATCGCTTCGACAACATGGCTTCGTTAAGAACAGATCGACGACTTCTAATTTACTTGAATACAAACACTATCTTTGCAGTGCTTTCTCCAAGAAAAAACGGGTTGATAGCATATATACCAGCATTTTATTCGATAGAGTAAATCATAACATTTTATGTATCAAATTAGCATGTTACGGAATACATGGGAGTCTGTTGAGATGGACTGAATCATACCTCAACAGGAGAAGCCAGTTAGTTACTATAAAAGGTTTCAAATCCTCACCCGTTTCTGTGACATCGGGTGTGCCACAAGGGTTTCATTTTGGTCCTTTATTTTTTATTACGTTTATTAACGATCTCATTGATAAATTGACATGTCCATGCCTGTTGTATGCAGATAATTTGAAGATTTTTCCGTTATCAATACACTCAGCGATTCGTTCAATCTTCAGTCGAATTTAGACTTAGAATTGGTGTAAAGAAAACCTAATGCATCTGAATACGAGAAAATGTTTTGTCTTATCATTTAGTAACAAGAAGCACAGACTTACATTTGAGTATAAAATAAATGGACAGGTACTTGATAGAAAATCCGTAGTTAAGGATCTTGGAATACTGTTTGATGAAAAGCTTACGATCATTACGATAATGTGATATCTAAAAGTACAAAACTTCTTGGCTTTATATTTAGAACTGCAAAGACTTTTAAAAATCCACGAAGCTTTCTTATTTGTACTGTTCCTGAGTACGCAGTATTTTAGAGTACAACATAATTATTTGGTTTCCATACTACGCTGTCCACGTAGATCGTATTGAACGTGTTCAAAATAAATTTCTATCAATCCTCTACTATGAGTACGGTTTAAATAGAAGTCTGCCTTACTATGCAGAGAAACTGAAAAAGTTTAACATTATATCACTACAAACTGGGTGTAAATATCAGGATATGACCCCCACCCTCCTTTCATTTGTCAAGATTAATACTAAGCCCCATCGTCAGTATACTTTCCTAAATACTTTCGCTTTGCAAGTTTATAGAAATAATACGTCCTATTATAATCCTTTTTTAAAAATGTGTCGCCTATATAATGACTTATTGATTAATAATAGTAAAAATATAGACATTTTTAATAAAAAATTAAACAATTTCAAAAAATACGTATTAGATATATTTTGTAAATAAGGTATTCAAGGCTTAAAATTTAAATTTAAATGTATAGGTAAATGAACATTATTTTAATAAAGATTTAATTTTTCAAAATTTTCCACAACATAAGTTCATAAGTATAGTATGTTTATAAGTAAGGTTATAATTATTTGTGCTGTAAAATCGTTACTGTTACTTAATATCATGTTGTGTGCACATGTTTTGGAATACCATCCAGATTATAACTTTGTATTTATTATTTTCAATTGTTCATGTTTTGGTGTTATTCTGTTTTGTGTACCTAAATAAATAAATAAAAATAAAAATATGGTTACAAAATAACGTAAAAATCTTATTTGAATTTTTATACTAATTTTGAATAAAGTAAAAAAAATCACTATATATGACGTATATAATTTTTTTGTAAACGTATAGTATTATTGCATTTTAAATAAATTATATTTTAGTTACGTAGGGCGCAATGAAAGTTTTGCGTAACTTATTAATTAAACAACTTATAAGCATGTAAATACTAAATATATTCATTATTTTTCAATGTATGCTCCTTTACATTTTATATATTTTTTATACGTTCGAACCAATTTTCAAAACAATACGGCTATTAGTCTGGTAGCATGTTTTCAACGTGCTGATTGAACGTCGTCACTGCCTCTTCGGAGCTTGTAAATGTTAAGCCTCTCATCAAATCTTTAATTTTAGGAAAAACAAATAAATAACAGGGTACAGGTTCCGGACTGTGTGCTGTATGGGTCTCGAGCTCTGTTTTTCAGAAGCCAAAAATGTTTTTGTTTTATTGGCGGTGTGCGAAAAAATATTGTGCTGCAAGAAGGCGGCTTCTCGGTCTTCTTTCTCGTACTGTTTCAAGAACGTCGGGCAAAAAAATGGTGGTGTACTACTCGGCATTAACACTTCTTTGATCTTGAAGTGGGACTATGTCAACGAGACCCGTGCGCGAGTAAAAAATGCAATCATTTTTTTCCGACGTTCCTCGCCTGCTTCAATTTCAGTTCAAGACCGACAGGTCTTTTCTCGCTTTCTAACACCCAATCACAATATTATTGTTTTTTCTCTGGTTTAAAACAATAAATCCAAGTTTTTTCTACTGTGGTAATGACGTAAACGTCATTAGAATGTCAATGGTCGTACCTAAGTAACATCTTTTTGCACCGATCCACATGAGCCTGTTTTTGTTCTGAAGTTGGTGTATACAAATGGACGTAACAAAATAAAATAAAATAAAATACGGTCGCTGGTAAAAATGATATAATGACTTGCTAATATCTTTTCTGGTACAATGGTAAGACCTTTCTAAAAAAAGATTGCCGCTGGGCGCCCTCTGGTGCCTTGTTTTATACTGCTGATTATTAGTCGGTGTTGCCGCAACAGTCGGTTCATGGGGAATCGAATAACAGCAAAGTTTTCTTACTTTGAATTCTTCATGTACAATTTTTTAAATTTTACTTATACCCATCAATCCCTAAATGTTCCCAAATCGTATTATAAGTGATGCGTCGGTTTTCTTCAATTAACTTCTTCGCAGTAGCCGCATTTTCCTCATGTAGAGAAATCTGTCTCCGCTTTAATTCGATATACCATCGCCTCACGGCGCTCAGATGAGGTGCTTCTCTCTTAAAGGCATTTTGAAGACGATCAGC